CTCCCTCCCTCCCTTCCTTCCTTCCTTCCTTCCTTCCTTCCTTCCTTCCTTCCTTCCTTCCTTTTATTTCTTCCTTTCTTTCTTTCTGTGTATTTGGTACATGGTATCACTATGCAGCTTGGACTCACAATGATCATCCTGAGCCAATCCAATGGTAGGATTACAAGCCTATGCCACCATGCAGGGTCTCAGTGGCCAGCTCAGCAAGCCTGGAGGCAGGGCCAGCACAGCATGTGGTGCCAGGGATCTAACCCCAGTCCTTGTGCTTGCCTAAGCAGGCGCTTAGTCTGCTGAGCTATCTCGCTGGCCCTTACTCTTCTATCTTGTACAAAATTATCCATGAGAAACTTTAATTGATAAATAAGTCAAAGTAAGATATTAATAGCAATAATAATAAAATAGAACTTCTATGACAGCATACTGTAATAACAGTTGTGGGAGTTTGAGTGCTGTGTCTTAGTCCTGTCTCTCTCAATGTATCTTCCTGTTCTGTATTCTTACTTTCCAAGAGGATGCAAGAGGACGTAGTACTTAAGGGCTAAGTTAATAACACAGGCCTTGTGACACAGTTAAGACTACTGACTGAGGGTGCTTTGAACACAAATTCTGTAGTGCCACAGCAATCTGATAACTAAAGATGGCAAAAACTATGCTTAAACTCTGTTTCCTGTTACTAAAGTATTTTGAGAGTACATAGATGAAATCCATTTATATATAATTCAATAAGTACAGCCTTAAAATATTAAATAATAAAAGTGCTTTAAATATATAATTAGAGGCAGAAAAGAGAGCAAGAAAAATAATTTAAATATCAGATCCCATGACTGCAGTGGGTGATCATCATTTTAAAGGGATGATAACAGATTTTTTACCTGAGGGCTTTAGAATTAGCCGGTTATATGACATGAATTGGGTCCCTTGTAAATTTATATGTGAAAGTGACTTGTATTGCCAGGTTGAAGTTAAGGAAGTAGTTTTATTTTATTTTATTTATTTTTAAACTTTGTGTATTTGGTCTCACTACGCAGCTCAGACTCGTAGTGATCCTCTTGTCTTAGCCTTCCCAGCGCTGGGATTACAGATGTGCACCACTACACCCAATCTCCATGGCCAGCTCAGAGCACGCAGGGGTGGGGCCAGCTCAGCATGTGGTGCCAGGGATCGAACCCTGTTCTCTGCACTTACCTAAGCTGGCATTTAGTCCACTAAGCTATCTCCCTGGCCAAGGAAGTAATCAAGATTAAATGAGGTCATAGAGGTGAGGTCTTAATCCAACATGACCTTTGTCCTGAGAACAGCAAGCGACACCAGGAGTATGTACACAGAGAAAAGGCTACATGCAGTCACACAAAGAAGGGGAATATAATTTAGAGTTACAAGTTTGGCCATGTGTGGGAAATTTAGGATTTCATCTTTGATACAAAGAAGTTCATTATATAATTTTTTAAAAAAAATCTTGAATACATTTGAAAACTTTTATGTAAATTTTACCCCCTTCAAGACAAAAGGCCTCAAGAGCATGATCTCTGTGCTGTCTAAAGGTCGTAGCTTGTTTATGAAGGCCATCAAGCATAGCATTTCTGAGTTGTGTCCTTGTCCCCATGTGACTTATTTCACATTGAGGCTTTTCAGCCTCTTCCCAGCCACCACTTGACTGAGGTTATTTTCTGTCAATAGACATAGCCCTATGACAGCACCTCACTCATCCCTAGTTCTGCCTTCTCCTTATAAGCACAGCTCTTTTTTTTGTATGCTTTATCTCTTTAGTTCTCAGTGGTCACCTCCCAAATGGAGATCCAGGATTGGGTTATCAGTTGAAGGGCAGCACATCTCTCTGACGTCAGAATGCTTTCTCTTTGCAGATTCCCTTAATGAGCCCTCCCTCATGTCTTGGACCACACTTGTGCTGTTTGGATCACTCCCACCACAGTCTGCATCCTTTTCTTTTCTTTTTTTTTTTTTTTTTGGTGGT